ACCAGGTAGATAGATTTAATTTCTTCTCTAGTTTATAACAGCATACACTATACTACCCCCCAGCCCATTGAATAGATTTCTCATTCTAGTATGCACTTCTGTAGGTTGGGAATAAAGCTTCTTTAGAATTATGTATTATTAACTTTTACAAAATTTTTATTGTTCCACCATCACAAAGTTTTTGTGCTGCTTCTACTTATTCCAAGATGTAACTTCTCTCCTGAATTATTTTTGATAAATTCCATACTTGTATTTATGGTTTTAACACATTAGTGTATTTCACTAAGCAATATATTGTTTGGTGTGCTTATCAGACTTCATTTAATTTTCTGTAATCAACCTTTTCACTCAACAGTGTGTTTGTAAAGTTCGTTTATTATTGTATGTGTAGGCGTGATTCACTCTGCAAATTGTAGTCTTTATTTTCATCCAACTTTGTTGAACCGCAATTCTTTTTATAGTCTCTTAGCAAGATATTGCTTGCATCTGTATATAAACGTGTGTGTGTGTGTGTGTGTGTGTGTGTACACATTTCCTTTACATTTTGTGATGGATGAGGTGATCCTAGCATAAGACACAGACACAAAATTTTCTATTAATTATGGCCATTGTTACTATCGCAATTCAGTAGTAACCATGGAAACATTACACTTTTTTTTGGATAAGAGAGGTCAAGTAAATGAACTTAAACAAACAAATAATATCAGTCTATTTACCACTTAAATCTCTTTACTAATACTGAAAAATCACTATCATCACTTCAAGTGTTAAGAGGTCATGAACACTTGGTTTTATAATGGTAGCTACACTAACACAAAAAGTAGAAATATTCCCTAACTCTTCCTTCTCTATAAACATCTATTTTAAAAAATCTGAATATTGTTAATGCAACAAAGATTAGGGTTACAGCATTTATCTTTTGTCTTCTTTGTTATAGAGAATGAAATCTAGTCTAACTGTTCTTGAATGTATTTATTTTGTTATATTAACTCCCTTAAGCGATACTAATATGACTTGACTATTAAATATTAAAACAAAATACTCTCTTATGAGATCATGCTCAAATTCTAGTATTCCCCTATCAAAAGCTTTAGGAAGTTATTGCCCAATTATTGAAACTTTAACTCTAATCATATAACCGAGGATAATTGGTTGTGCCTAAATTTTCATTCATCTTACACTTAACTTAAAAATTCTAAAAAAGGCTCCAGTCAGTACAGGAAGTTTTTGACAAAATGGTGGCAAATACTCTATGGTACAATTTGAAAAAGAAAACCTAAAATAAAATTCCCCTTACAGATTTATTACTGCATTACCATATTAGAATTCAGAAAATGCTGAATCCAGTTGAATTCAGAAAATGATGAATTCTTAAATTTTCATGAAGTTAGTAATTGACTTGCTGATGATTCACAGATTCTGCACACTAACTATGTATGATTTAGGCAATTATAAAAGATCTTTTACCTGCTTAGATTAAGAAAGAAAAAACTGACCTATTTAAAGAGATGTTTCTTTTGACAAATCAACACAAAGAAGTGAACATTCACTATTATAAAGTAAATAAAATTTCCCTTTGATGCCCTTATACTTTCTGTTCATTTCCTTGGTTAAAGAGATCATTGATGACCTTCCCATGGTCATTTACAGCTTAATGCAGGCTTGAAGAAGAGAAAAAGAAAGCAACTTTAACATTAACAAGAAAGGAAAAATCCTTAGTTGCAGCAGTTTAGATTTTAAAATATCACTGAAGGAGAATATTTTAAGAAAGAAATATTTGCTTGACTGTCCTCAGATATTGTTGGCTTATTGATCATTTTAAGTACTGTGTATTGCTGGCCTAATTGTTATTTAGAGGGTTGCTCTAAATAGCATATGACTTAGAATTATTGGACCATGGGTTTATTTACTTGGTATATATGAAACATATATTATAATAATATATGATAATCATGATATATTATCCTTCAGAAATACATATATTAGCATACATTTCCTTTACATACTCTGATGATTTGATCTTACCATAGGACACAGACACAAGAGGCACCTATAGTTGGCTAAGGTTTTTTGTTTTTGCTTTTTGATACCGGGGATCAAACTTGGGACCTTGCACTTGTGAGGCAGGCAGCAGAACCACTGAGCTAAATCCCTGGTCCAGTTGGCTAAAGTTTTGATAGGCTCATCAACTAAGAAATACCCAAGATGGACTTGAATTGCATTAGGAATTGACATCCAGGTAAGCCAGAAAACCCTAGACATTGTAATGTATCGGAATGGTCGCCATCTACTTGGATCCTATAGATTAGATATTTCCAACAGTTGGGGTCCAGCAATAGTGAAGGTCTTAGAGGCGATGGTGTGGTGAAGTTCCATCACGCAGGTAGGTTGGGGTAGGGTGGGGTGTTATAGTCAGCCTTCTGTAGCACAGCCTTATGGTACAGAATCTAGCCATAGTGAGGACATAGAAGATGTAATAAGCTGCAAGAGAAGTCTGAAAGATAGGAGAAAGCAAGTAAGGACCCCAACTTTAGAGCAATGATCTTGTGCGAAAAAAATCAAAACAGAGAGCTTATACCTAGAATTTGAATGCCAACCCAAACCACAAGTCTGTTCAGCGACAGAACAGGGCCAGCCAATAAATACTTTTGGTTCATATACCTCAGGATATGACCTGGGCTAATGTCTAGGACAGTGGTGACAAGCCTATGGCACACATGCCACTGTCAGCTGTTTGTATGATTGAAAGCTCTAAAGAGTTCACCATCACTGGTCTAGAGTTTAGTCTAGGCTACTTCAAGAAATGTATCTGTATATCTACTAAAGGTCAGGTTAGCAGCTGGGCATGTATTAGGAAGCAAGATAGGTTTTTACTTTACGAATCTGATACCAGTGGAAGGTGAAGTCAAGAACATAGACAAGCACAATGAAGTGTGCTGAATGCCAACTGAGAAAGGTACAATATGTATTATAGAACTGTGAGTCGTAGACTCCTGTTAAGACTTGAAGGAGTTGCCAGGGATTTAGCTCAGTGGCACTGCGCCTACCTCGCAACCACAAGGTCCGGAGTTCGATCCCCATACTATAAAAAAAAAAAAGACTTGAAGGAAGTGGAGAGATCCAAAGGCTTCTCAAAGGGACCAAAATCTAAGGTAAAATCTGAAAAATGGGTAGGGGTAGGGATGCTGCTAACACAGAAATCAGTTTTCTTGAAGAAACAGAAGCTATTGTTTTTAGACCATGAGTTACAAAATGATCATTTAAACCAGGTGCCTCTTCATGTGGAGCTACCCAGGACGAGGCCAGGTGGCTTGGTGACCTGAGGGGGACTTTACTTACCTCCTCCCTTACTTGGTTAAGTATTTCTATATAGGGCCCTGGGTTGAATTTATTTAGGTGAAAAACTTTTAAGGGTAGTGGGTTGGAACAGAAGAAAAGGAGAATCTTAAAGCTGTGTTTCTTAAAAATTAGGAGAAGAAAAACAGCCTCATTCAAGGGAAATATTTCTAGAATTGTCTTCTCAGACCAGGGCAACACACAAGTACCTACGTGGTGAGCTGCTCAGAGCCACCTGTGGGGATAGAGAGCACACATTTAAGCATTTGTCAGGACAGATTTGATTAGGTAGGCTTGAGCTTCCTGTAGTGATTCCATTTGTCATTCTACCCACTAAGACTGTGTAACATGGTTCCTTAGTACCAAATCAAAGTAAAGCTGGTAATGTTGTGCACAAATACAATAGAAATGAGATGGCTTAATTAGTAAAAAATTAACTAGCATGATTCCTATAAGTAAAAATGTACATATTTAAGGAGGCTTATTGTAACATTTATACCATTTATTTTGTAATATACTAATTCAAATGTAAAAGTGAATGTAAATTACCAGAAATTAACATGCAATGTGAAGAAAAGTCCTTTTATCCTCTGCAACTGTAGCATTTGGCAGATTCAGGAATAAATAATCTTTTGTGGCAAGGGTATGCCTTATCAAACATATGCAGATCAGCACTAATTAATGCTAATTAAGGTTTCCTGTCTATCTAGTTGGAAAAACGTCCAAATGTTATGAAATCCAGTTAGTATGCCTATTACGCTAATTGTTTTATATGGGGTGGTTCTTAATTAAAATATGTAAATTGACCTTAATTGCTATATACTAATGGGGGTTCATGTTATCTCACTAAAAGTGACAAGATGGTGAGGAGGGGTACTTAAAAGACTAATTCTGATAAATCCTTAACTAAATGACCTTTACTCAAAATTAATTTTAATTGGAAGTTGGCAAAAGAAACATTGTTTCTTCTTTGTTTCTTTTTAGTTTTAATAAATGGAAGAATGTTACTCTTCTTTGTTAATACAGCTTTAGAAGCAGTTGTGGATTGTTAATTACACTTAACAAGCAAGTTAATTTTACTGTTTACTGTTTATACTTATAAGGAAGTTATTGATATCCTCATTTCAGTCTTGGGAAGACTTTCTTCTCACTAAATGTGAATATATGGTTACAATTCTATAGGTAATTTGATCCAATTAGTGTGTCAGAACATGTGTTCAAGTTTATACCAATAGTTATTCCTTGGCTGATTTACATTGGAATTATGTCTTAGAAAAATTGTATATTTTTTCTGTGAAACTATTAACTTTTATTGGAGACTTTAGAGATACCAAGATTAAATAAAACTGAAATAGTAGTTTTACATTCTACCTGTCATATTATTATTTGTTTTTTAATTGTAACCAAAAATGTGTGTGCCGAAAACCAATATTAATGATTTTAAATGTACTTATTTTTCTACTGTGCTAACCCTAGAATTTCAGGAAGTAATTTAGCTCAATTAATTTTCTTTTAGAAGTAGCATAATTTCCAATGTAATTCAAGATTGTTAAAAATTCTGCAAAAATGTAAAAAAAGGATTTGGTAAAATATTGTCATATGGAAATGAGCATATAATAAACATCATAAATTTTCTTTTTCGAAAGGAGATCTAATATCTTTACTCTTTTATCAGGACATTGTGACAAATGTTTCACCCAGAATCATCCGGGGGACAACCTCTGGCCCCATGTATGGCCCTGGACAGAGCTCCTTTCTGAATATTGAGCTCATCAGTGAAAAAACGGCTGCATATTGGTGTCAAAGTGTCACTGAGCTAAAGACTGACTTTCCAGACAATGTAAGTGTGATTTAACATCTAAAACAAGAGAATTGGCATAAGTTGGTGAATGTTTATTTAAACATCCAATTCATAGGCTTATAAATATTAATGTGGATAATATATTTTATTAAAGAATCTGCCAGTTACTTTGCCGATACATAGAAAGATAAAAAAGAAAGCTCAAGAACTCATAAAAATCCTCACAATGTGAGGCTTTGTTATAAATGGGTTCTGTGCAAATGGAGAAAGTATCTACATAAGCAGAAGGAAGAGAAATGAAATACTCATTTTATTGAGTTGGCTTTCACTCTGGGTGGCTGGTATTTATGAAGGTGATGACCTTAGGAAGAAATTACAGACTATAAATCATTTCAAATATAAACCTAAATGGAAGCAGAATATTTTATGTAGTTAATTTTTTTCAGTAGGAAATAATTTACCAAATAGTTTTAACACTCTTATAATAAATGAATCAACCATCTTTTATAAACGCTTTTTCTTAAGAGACCATGTACAAATACTGCAATAAAATTGGGCTTGAATATAATACATAGTATTATCTCTTCTGTAATCTGGTTAAGGTTATTCTTAATGTCATTCATTCACCCCTGCCCCTTGTCACCTTCTTTCAATGAATTTGGAGGTTGAGGTTTTGGGCAGTGTGTGTTTATGTTGCTGAAAAGATTTTACTATGTATCTTCTCTAAAACTAAAACTTCATGTATTCTATTAATGAATACTTTTAGATCTAATGAAGTCCATGAATGTTTGTCTGTAAAAATTGTGCCTGGAATATCTTTAAAAAGAATGTAGATAGTACCTGATTGCCTAGCCCATCATTATTTTTCTATTTTATACAGCTCTAGTTGTTTCCTCATTCCCTCTTACTTTGAAATAAACATAATCACACAGAACAAATATAATTTATCTTCCTAAGACAATTCTTCAGATGTGAAGAAAACTATCATGACTCATCTGAAATCTATAGTTTCTGCTTATTAAGAATTTCTCACCTTCTAAATTTGATGTTGCAATTATTTCTACTTTCATATTACACAACTCTAAAAAATGATGCTAAGATATTTGTTATTTCAAGGATCTATATCCTTTGGGAAGCTTTTCTCAGAGTGACAAGGACAAAAATTCATCAACTCTAAAAAGAAATGTATATGTATGTATTAATTTGGCCTACAATATTATATACTATGCTGGGTGCTGAACATGTAATACAATGATGATGAACACTTTTATGGCACTTATTCCGTGCTAGGCACTGCTATAGAAGCTTTATATGTTTTAAACTCATTTGATCTTTCAGTAACTTTATATATACTATGATATGCCCAGTTTCACAGATGATGAAAGTGAGGAACACAGAGGTTACATAACATACCCAATATTGCATCCCTCATATATGCTAAAACTGGAATTTGAACTTGAAATTTGCTTTTAGTATACATGCTTCTAACAGTAGAGCTCTTTAGAGTACCTGCTTGCGTTGCTCTTAACATTTCAGCGTTTTAATGCAAGAACAGTATATAATATAGTTTAACAAATATTGCTTCAATAGTATTTAAATAAGTCAATGTGTCTGTGAAAAAAATATATTTTCCTGGAAAATAACTGCCAGCAATGGCTTATTTTAAGCTTACGTGATATGTTCTGCCCTCTTTTGGTCAGGAGTAAGATGTTATAATAACAGTCTCTAAGAAATGACAGTAAGTGGACAAGAAAGCTGAGATGAAACCCCTTGCTTTGTAATTCCACAGTCAGGTAGACAGAAGAGACACATTTAAATGTTCTTTTCAATTTCCCTGGCAACAGTTTTCTTCTTTTATATGACTTTTTCTCCTGACAAAACAGTGTATTCTTTTCTTGTTTCTAATTCTTTCCCTATTTAGATTACACTTATTAGTCTTTTTCTATATTCTTAGAAATAATTTTTAACATTATTTTACTCCCCATTTCAAAGATAACATTTTAAATACAATTAAAAAGCCATTTCCATTTGAACTCATAGAAATACTGTGTGTGCACCTAGATATTGCCATGCTGAGAGGAGAATATCCCCCACTGTTTTGGAATTATTCTGGTGCCAAACTCAATGAACTGAATGAAAGAAGGTGACCCTTCATTTTCCAAGTTTAATTATCACTCTCACTGGAGTTTTCCCACATCATTCTCAAGTGCGTGCCTGCCACCTTTAATGACAGGGACTGGATAATTCAACCTACTGTGGCAGCTTCTAAGCAAGGGCTAAGTTTTCTGAAAAAGAAAATATACTGAAGACATCCAGGCCAGCTATTACTAGCAGCTAATGTCTATTTCCAGACAGGTTAGACACCAGTTGACCAGGAACCAGAGGAAACAGCTAAAGAACATCCTGAATAGAAAGGTAATAAGACCTTCTGGATTATAACTACCAGAATTATAACAATGCCTACACGCATAATAGACCTCTACATGGCTTTCAAGTTTTCCTTTCATTTACCTATGAATTAAATTTGGCACACTGATCATTGTAGTGACAATTTATGACTAAAGAGGGGTTTTTTTTAATTCCTACACTGAGATTTTGCAAAGCTTATTATGAAATATACTGTATAATTAGGGCTTACAGAAATCAATTTAAGCGAATCCTTTTATTTATGTTGCAAAAATGTTATCAGTCATATATTTTAGACTTGAGAAAAAATTTTTTTACCAAAAAATATGGGCTGTTCTTGGTCTGAATGCAGTAAACCACAAGCAAAGAGTGATATTTTGTATCATTTGTGGCAGCTAAAGTAAAGAACCACAAAAAAAAGACTTGGGCAAAAGGCAGAGAATCAAAAGCAGAATCAACTGGTAATGATAAACACAGGAATGATGGTTTTGTTAGAGAAATTAATAGTGGAAGAACAATTCAATTGATAACGTAAATATACTTTGAGTATAATGCCATCTCATGGTTGCTGCATTCCTTTCTCAGGTAATTGCTGAGAGACACTCGTTGCACTATTTATGTTCAAAATGACTAAAGAAGTTGATCTCCTTCAGCATTCCTGAGAATCTTTCTAGACCAATAGCATCTCAATACAGAGTTCTTAAGCTTGTTTATGCACAATGGGCATCTTTGGCACTCTGGAAAGCCCCAAGAGCTTATTACTTTCAAAATAATGTTTTGAAAGCATAAAACACATTTCTTAGAGTTATGAAGGATCCCCACTATTAAAAAAAACTCTCAAAATAAATGTACAATATAAGGCAGAATGATATATCTTTTCCTTAATAAGGCATTAAATAATATGTTCAAGGGTCTACTAACTACTTAGTTTGGATGCAATTGTGACAAAAGTTCCTGAAATACCCACAGCAGCGACAGTGTCACTTCCTGTACAGGTTATCAATAATGCCACTGTGGTTTGCTGAATTCATGGTTTAGGAATGCTAACATTCAGTGGCACTTTAGTAGAAAATAAAGGTCTAAATTTTTTCCCATCTGAGCTCAAGAATTTCCTCTGTTTCATCAAAGGTTCTATGGAGATCAAGTTAAAAACTCATTTCTGGTTGCACATTAGAATTTTAAGAAAAAAATATTTGTGGTTAGGCCTTATCCTAGTTTAATTGTTCCAGAAATTCTATTTGGGGCACTGAATATTCATCTATGATGCGTATATGTGTTTATAAGTATGTGGGTATATATGTGTATGTACGTGAATGTGTATATATGTATGGATATATGTGTATGCATATGTATATGCTGTGTGTTTTTATGAACCTCATCAATTGATTTTGTTGCATATACAATCAGCATTGTATATGGCATTTGACACACAATTATTCACTACTATAAATTATATTGCATAAAATTCTGTTTATACAGTAGCTTAGAAATATTTTATTACTCAGGTCTTACTTTTAAGGTTTCTGGGACATTAGCAGAGCAGTGCTCAGCCTAGCGCTAATTATTCTCCAATATTGAAATGTGAGTTGTGTTTGGACTTTATACTCTGCCACAATTCCCACATCTGTATAAGAACCAAGTACTAGTCTCTCAGATCTATTCTGATAGCTCCACTCTTCAGTCTTTTATAGTGTATCCACATGCATAACCGGATTTGTACTGTGCTACATACTTGAGAGAGATGCACAGAAGATCTTTGACATTTCCTCTGAAGCTTTGTGCTTTCTGTTTCTCTGTCTTATGGCTTCTGGACTTTGAGCTTTGTTTTGTCAAATCAAACCTAGAAACACTCTGGAACTCATTTCCATAGTTTTCTGCCTTTCATTGACCATTGTAATTTACTGCTTAATGTTCAAAGTCTTAATGAAATGTTGTTTCATGTGTTTTATAAGTACTTTGTTGTTTCTGATGGAAGGGTAAATCCAGTTTCTACTGTTCCATCAAGGCAGCAACTGAAGTTTTTCTTAAAGAATCAGGAATATCCTATCCCAAGAAAATACTTGGCTACATGGAGCCATGGACCAATCACTGACCTATGAGCTGCCTTATGTATTCTGATTCATTTTTCTGTACTCATTTTGTGTAGTCAGTCATATTTTAACTTTTTTCTTTGCTTCTATGCTAAATCTAAGAAAATAACTGCCATTATTTTAGAGTTATTTTAATGGGAAGTGGAGAAGTCAAATGAATGAATGATAATAAAGTATGAATGTATAATGAATAAAACATTAGACAGAAGACCTTACATATGATATGGCACGTAATGAACTCAAATTCAGAAGAATTATTAAAAAGCATGTTGAGTGAGTTAATCTTTAATTTTTTCATTGGTAACTATATATGAAATAATACTTTTTATATAAACCATTACACATAGTTTTTGAAAATCTATCAGGAAATGTACTTCAAGAGTTACAAAGATGCTATTAACTTTGATTTGTCATATGTCCCTTTTAGAATATATCATGGAAAAAATGAAGTAGGATAAAAGCTAAATGCATAAATAGAATTTTTTGCAATATAATTTATAGTTGTGAGTGACTACAATGTGCCCTTGTCTTATATGTAGTATCTCATTAAATTCTTATAATGATTTATGAAGTAATGTATTATTATTTCACTGATGAGGAGTTGAGGCTGAGTGTCAATAAATAGCAAGTGAGAGGAGAAGCTGAGATTCAAATCCATTCAGATGCTAAACTACACCTCTTTGTCTCCTGGACAGTCTTAACTAGAAAAATGAGAACAGATTGATTGGGTTAAGTGAGCATGGTCTTTTTCACTCTTACTTTTGAATTTTTCATTACTATTACAGAATATTTTTATTTTTTTAATTAGGTGGGTCATTTTAAAGTCAATAAAATAATGTCACTTGATGATCTGCATTGATTTTTAAACCTAGATTTTGTAAAGAAGTGAGGCTGGAATGTATAGATGGCTTCCAGAACCCATGAACAATATTAGAAAATCACTACTTAAATTCTTGTGTGAAAAAGAGAACCATGTCTGAGAGATACTAGGTTTCCCTTCAATAGCTGTTCCATACAGCAACCCAAAACAAAGTTTGATGCTATTTACAAAAATATCTAGTACCAACCAAGATAAAATGCACAATGTCTTGCATCATTCAAAAAATTTCCTGCTTATATAAAGTAAGAAAATAAAACTCATAGTAAAATGGGAATGAAAGAATTAAAATCATCCCAAAACTGACTTGGTATTAGAATTGCAGACAATTAAATTAGATCTGTTGTTATAACTGTATTCAAATGTTGAAAGAGTTAATACTTGGAAAATAGGTAAAAGACTAAATCAATCTTCCAGAAATTAAAAGCTATAATTAATTAGATGAGATATATCCTTGAAGTTATAAACAGCATAATAAGCATTGCAGAAGAAATAATTAGTAAATTTAAAGACATTGTAATTAAAATTATCAAAAATAAAGCAGAGAGAAGAGAGAAGGAGAGGGATCATCAGTGAATCAATGAGCTGAAAAAAGCAATATGTATGCATTAGGAGTTTCCAAAGGAAAATGAAGAACCAGAAAAAAATATATACTTGAAGAAGTAATGGCTCAAATTTCCCAGTTTTACTTAAAAATACAGCTGTGCCTTGTTCATACCTCAAGAAAAACCAAAAATCTAAACCAAGAAAATTTAACACTAAGCATGACAAACCTGAAAAAGAAAAAACACCAACCTAATAGAGCATAATAAAATTAATGAAACCATTGATGGAGAAAAAAATATTAAAGGGAGTCAGATGGGGTGAGGGGAGACATGTTCTGTACAGAGGAATGAGTATAAAGTTTACTGCTGTGATTTATTATCAAAAGCAAAGCAAGCTGGAATGTAATGGAGCAGGATACTTACAGGGCTAAAAAAAAACAAAACCCTGGTAATCTAGATTACAAAATCCAGAAATAAAACTTTCAAAACATGGGTGACACAAATGATTTTTCAAGTACAATAGTAGGAAATCTACACTACTTTATGGAAAATGTTAAAAGAAAGTGTTTAGGCAGGAAAAAAATGATCCCAGGTCAAAACATGGATCCACATAAAGAACTAAGGATCAAAATTTATAACAATATGGGTAACTGTATGATTTTCTCCTTATTGTCTAATTTGTTTTAGAAGAAAATTGGTTATTTAAACAAAAATATATTATAATTACAGTATGGGGGTTATAAAATATATAAAGCTAATTAATATATAGGATAATATTATAAAAGTTATGAGGGAAGGGATGGAAAGATCTTAATATCTCCAAACTTCTAGCACCATATGCAAAGTTTTATATTTTTTGGAAATAGGCTATAATAGTTTAATATTGTTAAGAGAATATTTTACAGAGTGTCCTAAAGATACTGTAAACTAAAACAAATACAATATAATGCAACCAAGTAATGCTAAAAAGCAAAAATAGTTATAAAATGAAATTATAAAATAACATTTAATCCAAAAGAAAGCACAAAACAAGGAAAAGGAGCAAATCAGATATGAGACAAACAGAAAGACAATAGTGAGGAGATAAAGTTAAACCTAACTATTCAGTGCTATCACTAAAAATATAAATGATTTCAACATCTGGATTTACAGACAAATATTTTCAGATTGGACTTTTGAAGAAAGCAAGTCTCAACTGTATTCTGTCCACAAAAAATGACTTTAACTATAAGAATTAAACTAAAACAATTGAAGAAATTGAAAATTATATTCAATGCTAAATATAATGAAATAATATCTCATGATATTAATAGCAGACAACATAGATACCAAACCAAGAATGTTAACAAGGAATGAAAATAAGAAAGATAATTTTATAGTGACAAAGTGGTCAGTTCATCCAAAGGTGATAACCTTAAATTTTATGAACTTAATAGCGGCACTTCCAGATAAATAAAGAAAAACTGATAAAGACATCAGGATATATACATATATATA